TCTATCTATTTAACTAACTATATATATCTATTTATCTATCTATCTATCTATCTATCTATCTATCTATCTATCTATCTATCTATCTATCTATCTATCTATCTATCTTCTATCTATCTATCTATTTATCTATCTATCTATCTATCTATCTATCTATCTACCTATCTATCTATCTATCTATCTATCGTTCTATCTATTTATTTATATTATCTATTTCTCTCCTCCGTCTCTCTCTCTCTCTCTCTCTCTCTCTCTCTCTCGCGCGCGCGCGCGCTGTCTCCCTCTCTCTCTCCTCTCTGTCTCTTTCTGTCTCTCTCTGTGTGTGTATTGCGTCTCCTCATGCTCTTCGCTCGCCTTCTCACTAAGTAACCCTTAAGTAACGTGCAGATTTTCTGATCCCCTGATGACGTAGAACGAGCATAACTAAGCCGGATTAATTCGCCCCGAATTGTAACCAAATCCGGAGCGGAAAAGAAAACAAATTTGATTATCAATCTCTCTTGGATTTTCTTGCGATCTTTGTGCTGTAATAAAATGGGAACAACAGAGCTCTTTCAGGGTAGTGTTCACGCTGATGTGAGTCTAGGATGCCATGAATAGGCGGTGTATGCAACCTACGTCACGGCTTAACCATATCAATAGCTTCTCCAGCACACCGCTCTGTTGTTCTCCCTCTCTTTGTCTTCTCTCTCTCTCCCTCTCTTCCCCACTCCCTATCTCAGTACAGCTGGCTATCTCTCACAAAGCGGACGTGCTCAGTCAAACCCACAACCAAACCCAAAGGTACCCCCTCCCGCTCACCCTACACACACAGACATGCGCGGACGTTTACTTTCACATTTACCGTCAAAGATTTAATATTAATCATCATCGTTTTCTTCCGCAGGTGGCAAAACGTCACGCAATGACGTCACGGTCGCGTAAGCAGTGACGTCACCGCGATAGCAGCGCCGCCGCTTCCCACACCACCTCTCATTGACAACCACCATCACCACCACAAACAACAGACGCAGCAACGTCAGCAGCGTCAAGCAGAGATGGCGGGAAAATTCTCGACGCTCGAGCGCGTCTACCCGCCGCGAAAGTACAGCGTCATCGAGCTACCGGCCGCCGTCGGCCTGCCCGGACTCGGCATCGCACCGCCCCATGGCGGCCGCAAGTGCAGCGCTGCCAACATTCTCGCTCACTCTGCTCGCAAATATTCGGTGCTTGCCGAGGCGCTCCCGGGCCGTAAGATGAGCGCCGCAGATATCACGCGTAGGTTAAGCATGATAGGCGAACGACACCCGCGCCCGTCTACGTCCTACCATCACTCATCGGCGATCGCAGAGTCGATTGAAGAGTCGCCCGACTCGTCGCCAGTGTCGCCACGATCGTCGCGATGCAATTCTGCGTCGCATCGCGCGACGCTCGCCGTCGCCCGACGCGATTCTACGTCGTCGCCACCTGCCGCTACGTCGCCGTCGTCGGCGGTGCTTCCGGTGGCAGCGTCGCCGACCGACAGTGGGTCGGCAGCGCGCAGTTCCAGTGTTACCTCTCCGAGGGAGTCGGCCCTCGCGCACGCGATCCGACTCAGCTTATCCGACATCAACTCTCTGAGCGCGCGTCGGGCGAGATCCGTGTCCTGTTACGGCGCGTACCCGCTACAGGCCATCGCGCTAACAGCGCTCCCTGGCGCCCACTTACACCTACACGCTGCCGCAGCAGCAGCAGCAGCGCAGGAGCCGAAGCGACGTCGTGGCACGCTCTGCAAGCAGATACGCGCAGTGAAGAACCTACTCGTGCTCGCTCTCACCTTCCTTCTGACCTTCACCGGCTTCAACGCGCTACGCAACCACGCCAGCGTGCTGCAGCGCGACGCCAGCGCCTCTCTCGTGTCGCTGTGCGTCTTCTACGCGTGCATGTCGGTGTCAGGTGTCGCTAGCGCTGTCGTCACGAATCGACTGACGCCCAAGTGGACGATCGTCGTCGCGTTCGCGTGTTACTCGGTCTACTTTGCCGCCAATCTGCTACCGAACTACTACACCTTAGTGCCGACGGCGGCGTTCGCTGGCGCCATGTCGGGCCCGCTGTGGAACGCGCAGACGCTCTATCTGTACGCTACGGCGCGCAAGTACGCTTTCCTCACCGAGGAGATCCCGGAGCGCGTGCTGAATCGCTTCAACCGCGTCTTCGGCGCCGTCTACTGGTGCAGCGTCGTCGTCGGCAACATCATCGCTCTGCTGATCTTCACTCGCAGCGACAAGACGGCAGAGTTAACCGACGTCGGCCGGTCGCTGCGGGTCTGGGCTGCTGCTAGCGCGTGCGGGGCTGCCGCCTGCCAGGCGCACAAGCCCGTGCGGTACAACTTCACGTTATCATACGACAACGGCGTCGGCGGCGGCAACATCGATAGCGTCTTCCTACTCGTCGGCATCTTCGTCGGCTGCGGTTTGCTGGCGACGGCGCTCGCCGTCGGCCTGATGGACCGGCTGGAGCCGACGGCGCATCATGTCGGAACGCGACGTCGATCGTCGAGGTTCCTCTTCAACAGGATGCTGCGAGTGATGCAGGATAGCCGCATCCTCGTGCTCATGGTGCTGATCTTCTTCACGGGCCTCGAGCAGGGCTTCATCTTCGCCGACTTCACGAAGGTAAGGAGAGAGAAAGAGAGAACGAAAGAAATACACAGAGAGAAGGAGAGAGATGAAGGGGGCATGGTGACAGGAATAAAGAGGGAGAGGCAGAGAGAGAAGAGGGAGGGAGGAAGGAAGGTGGGGAGGGGGAAGGAAAGGTGGGAGGAAGGAAGGAAGATAGGATGGGATGGAGGAAGAGAGAAATGGAGGGAGGCAAAGAGAGAGTTCCTCTTCACCAGGATGCTGCGTGTGTTGCAGGATAGCCGCATCCTCATGCTCATCATGACTTCACGAAGATAGAACCGCCTAGGTGTGAGAAAGAAAGAGATAAATAGGGAGGGAGAGAGAGGGATAGGGAGCGAAAGGAGAGAGAGAGGGATGGAGAGGAAGGGGAGAGAGAGGGGGAGAGGGAGAGAGAGAGCGGGAGAGAGAGGGAGAGAGAGAAAGGGAAAGAGCGAAAACGAAACAGGGAGAAATACACAGAGAGCGGGAGAGGAAGGAGAGAGAGGAAGAGGACGGAAGGAAGGAGAGAGAGGGGGAGAGGGAGAAAGAGGGGAAGAGANGGAGATGAACGTGATGCATGACCGCCATGACGATGACGTTATATGACGTAATTTTCAATCGTCGTTATGCCAACTGTTACGCTACGTCCAATGTTTGATATTAGAACATGAATTTATACGTTGGCAGTTTAATAGTGATAATCAAATATCACGCGTAATATTGCAGCCCCGGCCAAGCGATATGCTCTCACTTGCAATCTCGGTCGTTTTTCATTAACCATATAAAAAAATGCTATTCACTCCTCATACGAAAGAATGTGTAATTTTAAGAGCAGGCGTTGGTTTTCACTTGTTGCCTGCTTCTTACCTTACTCCCTCCCTATCCCCCGCGTTCTTTCGCTCTCTCTCTCTCTCTCTCTCTCTCTCTCTCTCTCTCTCTCTCTCTCTCTCTC